TGAATATTCATATTTTTAACGAAAAAGGATTTTAAAAAATGGGTTGGCTATAAACTGGAGTTGGTTGGGAAAACAGAAACATTTTTTTTTCATTTAATTAATAACACCATGTACACACTAAGATATCGACAAGTATTAAATATATAAACATAACATTGTACCTAAATGAAAGTGGATGATCCATAAGCTAGGACACCATCTGAGAGGGCTGCAGTGGTACACCCTATTATAGACTGGCCTTTAGAGCATCTGTCAGCTCCATCTCTATACATGTACCTCTTCTCAAGTCTCGGTTTAGCAGATATAAAATGTTCTACATTCTCTTTTATCTCCACTTCATGTGTACACAAAAACAGGAATACCTTTTCAAAAATATACATGTTTGTACATATGAGGAGCGTTCATTGATTTGTCATGTTTATTCTTACAATGACGTGGAATTTTTTGTAATGGAATATTTGGCATTCTTTAATCTGCATTAATATTTTATAATATACTAAATAACTGCTAAAGTGCAAAACATTTTAAGCTATATTAACTAGTTTAATGAGTAATATGACTATTTCGAAATTCAAGTATTGTCTACAGAATTATGAACTTATGCCAAAAGCATGAACTTTTTCATTTGATAGTTTACTTTGACGTTTAAACCTATGTCATGTACGGATGTACAGAATCGATAAAAGATAAGGAAACATATATAGTGGTTATACTTATAGATAATGTTTGGGGTATTTGAGGGTAGAGTGGTTGTCCGATTCTCTATATGTGCTTAAATTTCTGCCGGTTATTTTTGTTCAATAATAAATGTTGACCTAATTTTTTTTATTTTAAAACAGTTTTCGTACATTGTACTAGTGTAAAAGTAAGCCGTCGAGTGTAAAAGTCAGAGGTCCTCACAAAAGTCCACCCTATATTAAATATCACAGGGACTTGAGACAGTAGTAGGTGGGTAGTCGATGACTTCTGTTGACACATCTGATCTGAATTATCTGTGTTACCATTATTCAAACAGGTCTTATTTAAGAATTGTTTTTTTTAAATTCTTTTTATTAAGGATATCACCATTTACACCATCAATATGAACATCACTTAGTGAACTCGATCAGTCGACTGTAAATGTGTTCTTAGTTTAGCATCAAATACAACATCTGGTGTTATTAAGGGACGGTGCTTAATCCTTATAATGACTACTTTTATATATGAATTTTTAGAATTTATAACATTATTTATAAAGAGAGAAAAAAAGTTTAAATGTCGAAGTATATGTACTCAGAAATGCAAAATTTCATTGTATTTCAGTACCAGTTTAGGAATCTTTGTCTTTGAGCTACATATGTATCTTAATTTTTTTAATGAAAAAAAAGTTTAATTCGATATAATTTTATTTGCATTACCTACAGTAGAACAATTATAGAATCGAGATACGTATAACCTGTACTACTCTCTTATCAAGATAAGTAATAATAATATTTGTAAAATATAAACTTGGTTCATGATCAAGTTATTCATAATCTTTTTTTTCAAGTGAACAGAAGAAGACTACTAAGTTGTTCACTTACTCCCTTTGGTTTCTCCCATTTTGAAAGGAAAATCGGATGTTTAAGAGTTGCATGTGGTATATGAACATCCGCAGCTTCATTATTTGAATAGCTTATTTTACCTTCGTATTATGAAATGTTAGTAGAATGAAATATATAAGATAACGAACAGTATTCAAGCTCAAAATTCGACAATTCAGTGTGCATATAATGTCCAAATATGAACATATAATGGCCGAAAAATTCGTATTAAAATGTCAGCCAGCGTTTGACTCAATAATAAATTGTATTTTCTGACAAGACAAGGTCATGGTATCGATCATAGAACTTACAAAATTATTACTTTAAACGAGACGGCTGATATTCTTGTTTAAGCAACTTGTTTGTCAATAACTTTAACAAATTTTAATACGTAAAGCATGCTCTCACGTATGAAATCTACTGAGAGATATAGACCCGTATGCAGGTGATGAAGATATATTACTGCATAAGTGAGGGATGATGAAAATTGAAAAGTTCAATTCGTCACGTTTATCAAAATGTTTGAATGTTAAATTACTATTAACGTCTTTTTTTTCAGGAAATATCTTAATATGAATCAGGTATGTCAGACTTTGTGGTATCTTTTATTTCAAGCTTACTTGGATAAATCGTTAAAACTACTAAATGGAAATAACCATCGTTGACAATACATCGCCGGTAAATCTAAATGTGGAGTTGAGGATCACAGCACGTGGGTTTTTTTAAGTAAAAGGTTTTGGACAAATTCTGTTTCATATGAATACAGATTACAGAGCCCAATTGATACCATGGGAATTCTAGTACATTGTTTTATGATTTGGTCTCTAAAAACAAGAAGAAGAAAATATTGACGAATTGTTTTAAACCTTTCTTTTATTCTTATACAGCCAGCTTCACAAAATAAGTGATTATTTAATTAAAAAAAAAAACAAAATGTAAGCATTTTGCTAATTCTTGTATAAGGTATTCTTTCTTTCCTGTTTTTCAGATACCTAATAAGGATGTGCCGATGTTTATATGATTGCTCACAAGCAATATTCAATTTCCTAAGGAATTTGTGCTGCTGCTTTGCAGGTGATCAATTTTATTATTATAAATACGTTTTACCCTAAAATATTGTTTATTCTGGATGTCAATGTCCAATGATTATGTAATCAAATTGTAAAAATTTGAAGAACTGTAAAAGCAGTAATATTTCTTTGGGATCGAAATTGTTGTTTTATTCTGAAACGATTGTTTTGGAAAGAAATAGTGATGAAGATAAATGATTTAAGTACCAACCTGAATCCTGTTTTACTTACATGGCATCCATCCCAATATGAATGATTGAATGAAAAGAATATGCATTAGGGATAAATACTTTCATTAAGATTATTCAAGCCCAAAAGTCTATTAAACAATACAAAACTGGAGCAGTCATCACGTTTATCATATCGCTTGGTTGTTAGATTAACATTCAGGTCTTTTTCAAGTAAAATATCCAAGTATGAAAAAGATGTGTCAGACTTTGTGGTATTTTTTTTCCCAAGCGCACCCTTTATAAACCCTTTATGCAGGTGATGACGGTATATTGATTCATAAGAGAAGTTGACAATTGAAAAAAAATAGATCTTCACGTTTAGCATAAAGCTTGGTTAACTCAGATTTAGGCCTTCGTTATTTTTTCCAACTAAGCATATTTTGGATCGCATAAACTTGGCATTAATCAAAAATTTTATAATTTTATGATCTCCTATAATGCTTTGTACTTTTATGAAACAGTTAAAAATCAAACATATTATGATATTAGAAGTAACATAGAAGATTATAGAAAAAATATAGAGTATTGGGGATGTTTTGAAAACAAAGAGTCTGAGGAGGTGGGGCAAGAAAAGCCTAGATGATTTATTACTTTTGACTAGAATTTTACTTTTAAATCCGAATTAATTTTCACAGATTTGATTAAAAATAGAGATTATTCTTACGATATTTAGTTGATGGAATATTCCATGTTCCTTTCAAGAAAGAATCATGGGAAATGTATTCCTATAAATTAGTATTTTAATGAAAAAAAAACCACTTTAACCTGTAGTATAAATAAAGTCCGTTTGAAAAACAGATTGCGTTTAGTATTGTATAGTACAATACTAAATATAAATATTATAAACAAAGTTCACTTTTAAGTCATTATAATCAAACAAAATAATAAATCAACAGATTGAATATATATCCTTTTTTTGGAAATTTAAATAATAAAAAAACTGTTTTAATTTCATTAATTTCTATTCATTGAATATTGAAATGAATGTAGTTTTAAATATTTTTTTCTCTGATAATACAACGTAAATTATTTCTTACCTTTTTATCTTTTGCAATCAGAAGACAGTGAAGAAAATGGTCGCCTTTTAACGAAATCAATTCACGGTGAGTCTTACAGATTTTTTACGCATTAAGGATATCCGATCCTCAGCCAGGAAGAAAATCTCCAAAAATTAATATTTAATTTGAAATGCATCAAAATGAAGCTTAATCAAAGTACTGAGAGTACTGATAGGCGGAAGCATGTTTGCAAGTTCTCATGTGCAAAACTTTAATGACACATATTTGAAGCATAATCTTTTTTAAAGGGGGGGGGATGATAAATACTTTGGATTGTAGTTTTGAAACCAAGGAACAAGAATAAACAATATGTCTAGCTTTTGATGCGGATACATGAGAATAAGTCACGTCAATAGCAATATGAACATTTTAACATTTATTATATCCCCGCTTTAAAAGTGGGAGGGTATACTGTAATCGGTATGTCCGTCCGTACGTACGTCTAGCTGTCCGTTCGTCCGTCTGTTACGCTTAGGGGTACTCATATCTTATCCGCAATTCCTCTTATACCACCTAGTGAAATTTAATGAAACCTTCACAGAATCTTTATTACATATTACCATTGTGCACCTCCTCTTTTGCTTTTTGATCCGACACATATTTTGGGTTTCCCGGCCACAGCAAAACATGGACTTTTCCATTATACATGTAATCATATGGGAGGCAGGGGTATCATTTAGTGAGTTCATTGCTCACAGTATCTCTAGTTTATATCAAGTATAACAAGTTAAAATTGAAATGCAAGTTGCAATACATAAAATTTGTAAGATATGGTTTTGGGGAACAAGAAATGGAAAATTATAAAATTTCACACAAAATGAGAACTAAATGAGTAATAAAAAACTATAAATATCACAACTGCTTTTGGGTTTTGTATGTGTACATGTATTAAGTTTTAGTACCAATGAAACAAAGTTTTGTTATAAAACAGCAAATTATATAAGGAATACAACATACACAGAAGACCTTACATAGATTTACAATGTGCTTGTGGTTCTATGAATTGTTTTCATTCAATATATGTATGGCCCAGGTTGAACAAATCACACAATCTCTAATGCTGGTGACAGTTGAGCCCTGTGTCATGATGTCCACAATAAATGGAATATTTTTTTCAGGAGAGCTTCTACCATGGCAGGCCCTTGAATGCCAGACAGTTTTATTTTTATTCCTGTGGTAAATTTGTCTTTGATGATTGTTCTAACATACATCCCAATATCAATGGTGATTTCTTTTCTAGAGATTATCTACACGATTCCATTCACAACTGTCTCTTGGCAGAATTTTCTACAAAGTGTATAATTGAAAAAAAATAAATAAGAATATCTCAAAATGTTTATTTAACAAAAATTATTTCACATTATGTATCTGACTTTCAATAAATGAAATCAAGGACTTCAAATAACCTTTTATGATAAGCCGGGTATTTTACATGTAATATATTTTCTAGGGAAGTCAACTTTACCGGGTACTCGATCCAAGGTCCAAGTATCGAATACTAAAAATAGGTACTCCTTTATTCGGATGTATATTATTTCTTATTTCAAGGTACACATTTTTATCAGAAAGTTATCAATTATAACTAAAACATGCAAATGGTAATTAGCATGTCTTCATCTACACTTAGCTGTAAAACACCCGTTATCGCCTTGATCTACATTCATTCATTCAATGAAATCTGACATGCAAAGAAATTAATGCCACTATACCCACTTCAAAAGTGAAGTGGGTATATAGAAATAACAAAAGATTCAAAACTGAAAGTGAACTTGTGTAGTAAGTTTAGTGTAAATATACTGGAAACAACCAACAAATGAAATAATATAAGACAAGCGATCCTGACCAACAACATCCGTCCCCTCTCTTTCGCTAGTTATATAACCTACATGTGTACACAGAAGTTTTTCAAATAGATGCAATTAAAACAAACTTTTGTAATTTTGGGTGTATTGTGCATTTGTGTTTTATTTGATAACTAATTTTAGTACCAAAAATTATTTCCAATGGAATTGATAATTATTTGTACATGTAATGAAAAAGTCAGATATCGAGTAAGCGATTATTAAACATGTTAAATATTGACCGATTTGACTTTTCTAATATTTTTTTTGTATTTGTTTTCTCTTTCAAAAGCCTACTATTACAAGTAATCATGTATTTGCATGTATTTAAAAAAAAAAATGAAAAGAAAATAAGTCAACAAAAATAAGAAAAGTCAAAATATACTTTCAAAAATAGTATTCGGTTCAGTTTTGCCATCATAACAAGAAGATTTGTTAGGCTATAAAAAATATGTATCATAAGTTATGAAAATTTTTTACACTTAGCATATGTTATGAATATTTTTACACTTAGCTAGAAATATAATAAATTGATGTGCTCACCTTCAGAAAAGTGTTTCTGGTTGTGCTGAGTTGAGTTTTCTTCTGCCATTTAGAGGTGGCACAGGGCAAATCCACAATGCAATCTTAATTATATCCCCTTTCTGTTAGCTGCCTCCGTAGCAGGGACACATGTATACAAAACACAATGTAGTTCTTATGCTTGCGTCTTAATTTCTGTCCAGATTTTACAGTTTTGGCCCATCCTTCAACATACATGTATTAACATTAAATGAGAAAGGATATATAAATGTATTCACAAACTCGGCATGATACATGTAATTCCTCAAATAATTTCTCCCAGGCATGTAATCATGGTAATTATAGAGTACCAGGTCGTTTGATAAGACCCGACCATAACAGCTATCATATTACGATATCTAAAGCATGCCTGCAAAGGGAGGCGACATTTTCATGTTAAAACAATCAAAGATAAGGGTGACAATAAAAGATAGGATAATCACGCAGCGTGAGTTACCTTTTTTATTTTGAAGAGAAGGCCTGTCACTTCCAGTCAACCATTGTAAATCATTTGTGCTCCACGTGGGTTTGTTGACAATAATGTCACGCTGAATCGTCTATATGTTAGATTATTACGCGAATGTAGTACACAGTTGATAAAAGGAGTTACATACCTCTTTTCTTCTATTTTTTACAAGATTATTGAAAAGATAAGTTCCTCAGTAGCTATGTACCTGTCATTAATTCTTAAACATAATTATACCTACTTGAACTATTTTATCCCTCGTAGTATTTCTAAAGATCGCTTCAGTATCCCGTGCTAATCAAATGTTGAACCCGATTTGTTTATGTTTTAGACATACAGAGTTGTCGTTCGTTCTTCTCTCAAACGTGAAACGTATCAGCAGTACTAAAGTAACTATTCCTTCTATTATTAGGCTATTATTTTTATTGGACTTTTTTACATTAATCAAAATAAATTGTTAAAATAAATTCGCCATAACACACGCTTTTTGATATGATAATAACGATAAAGATTGGGAAGGGGGTCGAATATGATTAAGCGGGTTGTATGCCCTTAGTTTAAGATACATCCGTTTGGAGTACCATGAAACGGGGCAAACATCTTGAGAGGTCGAAAGGTCAACAAAGCATGCAAAAGTAAAAGGCGGCTTCTGCCTAAAAATGAATTTTTCATGCAACAACTTTCATTTTATTCTAATTTATAAGATTCAGGGGTTTTGAAAGTGTTAGAAAAGGTCTTATAAAAGTTGACATTTGTATCCTATAAAAGAGAAAAAAAATAATATAGTTTTAGAGAAACAAGGTTTTCCTGAATCCAGCCTTAGATACCAATGTTTATTAGCATGATATGAAATAAAAAGTGATTTGTTGTGTCTTGTAATGATAACAATAGCCTTTTATACTATGTATTATCAGAAAACATGACCGAAACAGAAGACAAAAAATACCAAATAAATATAAAAATCATGACAATTTCTCTGAATTCCTGGATACCTATCGTTTTTAATCTAAAATATATTTCTTGATCAATTTGCAATATTGTTGATTTGACATTTTTCCCTATATAATATGATTAACTTTAAATAAATACAGCGGATAAATTTACATAGCTTTGTGGATTCAGAGATACTTTTGTGAGTATTGTTGATTACTTAACTGCTAATTTTATAAACCTGAGGATCGGACTACCTTGAATAAATAAAAATCAGTTGAATGAAAAACTGAATTACAAAATTAAAGAAAACAAAACGACAATTTCTTATTTTTGAAGATTTATTTTTCTTTTGACCATTTTTTTCATTGTACGGAAAGAAAGAGAAGTAATGACTTTAGGTACGGTCATAAAAGGAAAATTAAGTAAATTGATAAGGATGATTGGAATGAATAGGGAAGACCTTATAATTATTTTAACTGATGTAAAAGGCATTCATTGTTTGTATATTTTTTATCCTATTAGTGACAACATCCCCACTTCAAGGATATTGTAGAAATACATTTCAAAACTTTCAAAACAAGTATTTGCGATCGTGCAACCTCGAGTGGAAAGATCTTCAAGTAATTACGAACACAGTAATTATACTTTGTCCGAAGAAATCTATCCTTCAAGATGACGTTACAGAAACTTTGAAATATTTCGAAATATTAGGTAATCGTTATTATTCGAATTATTTATAAAATATGAAATTTTGTTTTTTTTTTTAAGAAAACCAGTTCATATTTAAGATAGCAAACATTAAATTTGTATCATGAAATACATAATCCTTTTTTTTTTATCAGTTTATGTGGTAACTAATTTATATATTTTTTAGGTCAACCCAAAATAATGCTTATTGTAATGCACTATTGTGAACGTGACATAGAGCCGGAAAACCTTCTAACAGAAAATAGAGATAGCAGGGTTTCTTCTTTTGCTAATATTGTATATAGCGATTCCGAACAATGTTACGACTGTCATATCAACAGTAAGGCCGTGAAAGCCATCAAAGACTTTATAAGAAGTAATTGATGAAATGAGCAAATTATGTATTACTTAATCAGACTGGTAACTACATGTACATCATATAAAACTTTGTGAAGACTAATCATATAAAAGAAATACAACTTTATTTTATTAACTACGTTTCATATCAAATAGTAACAAAATACCTTTATAGAAACTTGGCTTATTTGTATATCCGTTTTGCTTTTAAGGACAGATGATACAAACAAATTTTTTCTTTGAAAAAGATTAAATATCATGTCACAAGTTTAGAAAAGTGGATGGTTCTTAGATTTTGTTCTCCTAAGAAATGGAATATGAAAAACACTTGGAAAATATTACTAATATTTCAGTGAAAAAACAAATATAGACAAATCACATTCAGTACAGGTTTACAGGTGAAAACAAATTTCATAACATGTTATCTTGGTGCTAAAAGTGTAATATAAACAAGCCAGGTGAATTTTATTAGGAAAAGCTAAATTGTAAAAATCAGCCTATGTGATATTGCTAATTTTTTGTCATTTTGTTCCTCCTCTTCAAATTCACCTGGCTTGGTATATTTTTCTTCAGTTTATATTATACTTTTAGCACCAAGATAACATATTATGAAATTTGTTCTCACCTGTAAACCTTTACTGAATGTGATTTGTCTATATTTGTTTTTTTATTGAAATATTACTAATATTTTCCTAAATTTCATTTTCCAATTCTTTAGAGAAAATATTCAAAGAACCATCCACTTTTCTAAACTTGTGACATGATATTTAATCTTTTTCAAAGAAAAAAATTGTTTGTATCATCTGTCCTTAAACGGTAACAGGAATTTTATAATTTGTACATTGAACTTCGTCAAAAAAAAACAAAAAAAAACAACAAACTGCATAGATCTATGCGTTTTAAAATATACATATAGTTGACATCTATTCAGATGTATATAAAATCTATAAAATAATAATAATAATAATATTTTTTGGTGTTAAGATTTTCACCATACATTTAAAGGTTTTTGTGTTGATTTGAAAATACTTATTTTGAACAAAATTATAATATGGTAAGATGGGATTCTTGTCTTGTTTTTGATAAGATGAAATATCTAAAGTCTAATTGATTGTCTGTATGTCATATATTTTAATGTAAGAGATTTAAAAGATCCTATTTTCCTTCCTCATTACAATTGTATAACTTAAAATATATATGAAAATATGAGTTGGTAACTAGCAGGGATTATATTTTGGCGGAATGACGGCATATGAAAATATCTTTTCTGCTTCTCAAACTTATTATTGAATAATGAATTTAGTTGTAATTTTTAACACAATTAAATACCCGAGAAAATCTTTTTAAATGAACATAAAATTTATAATAAGAAACAAAAGTTTAAAAATGTATAAAATATGTCCAGATCTAAGCACATATTTGAGCCAACAATCAGCAAAAAGTGTTTTTCTCTCTTTCTAAACGATCAAACCTTTTGTTTCTGAATCATGATGTTCCTCTATATGACTTCACAAAATAAGAAAAATTTAAATATTGAAAGATTATTAAAAATAATATTTCCTAACAATTTAAGAAAATGGAAAAAAAATCGGAAAACCCTAAATCCTTTTGCAGTTAAATTATCTGTCAATTTGGTAAAATCATCTTACAGACTCTACATACAAATTTCTTTATATGCAAAAAAAAAAAATTTTTCAAAATAGAAGTAGGCTTTGAATGATTAACAATAACATATTTCTATGCATCCGTAAACGAAGTTTCGGGGGTATATAGTTTTTTTTTTTGTCGTGTCCGTCCATCTAGCTGTCTGTCTGTCTACGTTTCAAAACGTTCAAAACTTTTATTTCGGCCATATTTTTTGAACAGTATATACCAAGACTTTTTTTATACTTCAAATATGTATTATTGTGGCAAGACCTTTCATTGTGTACCAATATATTTAACCTTTTGGCCTTGGAGATATCGCTTACTTATGAAAAAACTTTAACCTTGGCCATAACCTTTGAACGATAAGGGCTAGGGCTTTCATACTACACATATATAATCCTTGTGAAAAGACACATAGCCTTCCAAGAACTTTGACCCTGTGACCTTGACCTTGGAATTTGACTTACTTTGGCCATAACTTTTGAACGGTAGATACTAGGACTTTCATATTTTACATATATATTTCTTGTGACAAGACTATTTATTGGAAACCAGCAATTTTGACCTTTTGACCTTGACCATGGAGACTTCAGTACTTATGTAAAAACTTTAACCTTGACCTTAACTTTTGAACGGTACGAACTGGGGCTTTCCTACTTCACATATGTAATCTTTGTTAGAAGACTTTCCATCGGATACAAAGAACTTTTACCCTTTGACATTTAAGTTTTACCTACTTTTAATAAACAAACCTTGACTATAACTTTTGAAGGACTAGAATTATGGCTTTCATATATATTTAAGCTTTGTGACAAGACCTTTCATTCGATATCAAAATCTTTTACCCTTTGACCTTGGAGTTTGAACTACTTTTTAAAAACTTTAAACTTGGCCATACCTTTGAACAGTTAGGGCTAGGGCTTTCACACTTTACATAAGTAATATTTGTGACAAGACCTTTCTTAAGAAACCAACAACGTTGTCCCTCTAACCTTACCCTGGAGTTTGACCTATCTTTCAAACACATACCCTTGGCCATAACTTCTGAACAGGTTGTGCTAGGGCTTTCATATTTCACAATCAAATTGTGAGAAGACCTTACTTTGGATACTGATATATTTAATTTGCATTTAAGAAAAGTTTTATCTTTGCTATGTTGCTAAACGGGGGCATCAGTGTTTCACAAACACATCTTGTTTTTAATTTAAATTCAAAGTAAGCTTGAAAAACTTGGAAAACGCATTTAGAGTAGGTTTTCTGATAAAGAATATTCGTTACGAGTCAATTAGAAGATGACTGAAGGTTTACTATATAGAGACTGAAATGAAGGGCTTCACCGATGTTGACCTTGAATTTGCCGACCTTTTGGTGACTATTCAGTTAACTGAATGGTTAAACTTCATCCTGTCAATGATTTTTTTCAAAACTTTTATAGGGAGCAAAAATGGCGCATATGTGATTAAGTTAGTTTTTATTGTTACTTGATAGGGTGATGAATCAAAACAGACATAATAACCAACAGTAATTAATCTCAAACGTCTGCAAAACAAACGAAACTTAAAGTCAGGAGCAACGCAAACACGGACCTCCAGAAACATCAGATGTGAAATCGCGTACAAAGGGGAAAAGTAAACTTGATAAATATTGACTTTAACCCAGCGTGTTCATGTTCTAGTGTCATCAAAGTCTTATTGTCTGGATTTAAGACCGATCGTACATAGTGTGTGCTTATGCGTATCGAAGCTACTGGGACACATAAATTCCATATGAAAGTGACAAGGGTATAGTGTTTCCAGAACAAGAAATATTGACAATAGAAAGGTTGAAGTCATCTTGTTTATCAAGTCCGATGTCAAAAAGCGTGACTTTTGAATTTGGCATGAGAATGAATAAAGAGAAGTCCTATATTTTGATGTTACTGACATTTTTAAAATAATGATATGTAAAAACCTTTTGTGTAAAACCATATCTGTTTCACACAACTTCCATTCCAAAATATGCTATAGCATAGTACATCTGAAAGTATTTTTATGTCTCAGTTAATATCTTTATGCGGAGAATCTTAGATATATGCAGTGAATATCTGACATATGCATTTCTCATTGCCCATCACTATGAATTTTGCGCGCGCAATAGCTGTCCAGACTACTTGCACATTCCATTCTCACACATTATGCAAAATGTCCAAAAATTATACATTTAGGGAGTGCTATGAATTTTAAGAGATGTTAAAATATTGATTCACAAATAAACATATTTGGTGCACTCAAGCGTACTAGAGGTTCACGGCAAGACATTTTTGACTTGGTGCCGAACTACTGTAATGAGCCTCACGTCGTTAAGCAGGGCTTTACATGTAGGAGTACTTTTGATGTAATTATTGTATAAGCTTTCCACCAAAGTTACTGTCGTGAAAGACAAACAAAGTATAACAAACGAAGGGAGAGAACAGGCAAGTAGCATCGTTTTTAAAAGTGAGGGGGGGGGGGGGGCAACCTGAGAGAAAAAAATTCTACTTACCCGTAAATGTTGACAAGCCAAAAAAATGGTTCAAACTCGAAAATCCTATTTCGGCGGGGGGTGGGGGTGGGGAGGGGAATAGTGGCCACCTTTTTTCAAGGCTAACTTAATTTTCACTTCAATTTTTTTCCAAATAACACCACATTTTCCTTCATATCACTATACTCTGGTAAGAAGTGGGGGGGGGGGGGGGCAACGTTTCAATAGACAATTTCAATAGTTAAGGTAATGTTGGGAAAAAAAAGTGCCCCCCGCCAAAGAAATAGACATCAGAGAATTTTATATTTTTATTTTTATATTTTATATATTTTATAAATGCACAAATGGTAGTAAAGATATGTACAATACACTCACTAAGAAGAAAATACAAGCAATCAAGGCAATAGAAAAATTGAAATAGAAATTGCAATGAAGGCAATAGAAAAGAGGAAAATAATGGAATATTTTTTGGCGAAGGATATGGAGATAACGAACAGTATTCAATATCAAAGTCCACAAAACAATTACAAAATTGGATCAGAGCAAACGCGGACCTCCGAAACATCAGAGTTGGGATCAGGTGTCATGGAGGAGTGAGCATCCCCTGCTGACCGGTCACACCCGCCGTGTGCTCCTTGCAATGATCGGGAAATAACGGTAAAATTTGTCTTTAATTCAGTATATAAATAATTTACTAACAAAAAGTATGAAAAAGTCAGTCAGCATTTATCTCAATGATAATTGTATTTGCTGAAAAGGTCATTGTAGCGACAATTTACAAAATGATGACTTTAAACGAGGCTGTTTATATTCTTGTTTCATTAACTTGCTTGTTAATAATTTACCTTGTTTTAGAAATTGTTCATACGTAGAGCATGCTCTTGAGTATCGATTCAACTGAGATATATATACTCCGTATGCAGGTGATGAAGGTATATTGCTGCATAAGTTAGGGAAGTTGACGATAGAAAAGTTAAAATTACATTCATCACGTTTATCATAAAGCTTTGTTGTTAGATTACCAAAAACG